ATAAAAACCGTGCATCATATGTAGAAAGCCCCCTTTAGTGGACTTGAGTGAGAAACCAAAGATAGGATTATATGTTTTCGTGGCACCTCAGGCCCTTGTCAACGAGGGGTTCGTGAGAGCAGCCGAGGCTAGACAAGTTGTGCATCCACCAGACAGACGAGAACTTGAAGAAGCAGCAACTCCTTGCCCTGCCGGTCTTTGTGTCCAGGTGAGCCATGGATAAAGCTCCTTCACAGTAGTCAGTATCAACAGTGTGTTGCAGGGTAGATATTGAGATATTGTATCATGACAACGAAGCTACAGGAGTGCTCGCGTAGCCTATGGCCTGTAGGGCGTAGGCTCGGGTAGGCATGTGTAGGGTGCCTTGCCCACCTAGTCCGCGTAGTGGGCACGTTTTACAAAAACAACAGGGTTGCATAGGGCTGTATAGGCCAGGGTTGCCGCGGAATCCGCATAGAGTGTCCTGGCGTGGGTCTTCCATGCTAGTACAAGAAAACGTATCTCAAACAGCACTGCCCATGTAGGGGTTACTTTGTACGCATGGCAGAACCTGCCATGGCATTGTACTATAGAGGATTATAGAGGACTACTGCCAAGGAGCTTGAATGAAATGACTATGCTATCACCACCATGTAAATAATATGTTGTCCTCATTATGGATAGTAGACGTTAACTAGCACCAATCCATGACAGAGCTAGGAAGTTCACAATGTGGTCCAGGTCCTCCAGGATGCTGGTGCTTTGGGATGAAACCTACTTTGAACGTCTTTGGTGTCAGGCAGGGCTCTACAGCTGGGGGTCAAGGTGTCCACAAATCAGGGCCACCTTGCTTTTGGGAACTTCTAGGTCTTTAGCCCAAGGTGTTGATGAATTGGTTGCAGTGCAAGAACCTAAATTACGTGGCCATATATATATATATAGATATATTTTTTTAATCACATCGTCGTGGCTTGATTTTCATATTCCAATGTAGTGCGATGAGTTAGGGGGGGGTGGGGAGGTTTCTTCGTAGGGGGAGAGAAACATATCCATGGTGCAGTCATGTATAATCACAGCTAAGACAATGCCCCCTTAGGTGGAGTTGGCCACATTCATCAGGCGTGGGGATCAGCACGGGCTGGACTTCCAGCCCTTGTGGCTCGCGCCGTGGCTGGTCAACTGCATTTGCTTGGAGCTATTGAGTGCGGTAGTGGCGGAGTTGTGCGAGATCTTGAGCCCGACGGCCTCAAACACCGGCGAAGTTCGAGACATGTTCAGTGGGATTTTCGGAGACACGCGTAGAACTATCACATTCTGCGTTTACTGCTTTGAATGGCTCGTTTCCTCCGCTATCATCTACTTGCCGATGATGATCCCTTGCTTCTATTCCTTCTGGCGAAAGCTCCAGCAGCACGAGCACATGCTGCTTCAGATGGCAAACTTCAACATACGAGAAGCAAAGTGCTCCTTGATGCATGATCGAGTTCTTCTAGAACAACAAGTGGAGGAGATGCTTGGGAATACGCATCACACACCAGCTGAGTTGGTGACAATCAATGTTGATGAGCCAAATTCCGACAGCGCAGCAGCTGCTGCCCGACCACTAGATTTGCCTCGCACTTTCCTGGATATAACCGCTAAATATTACAAGGGTTCGAAGCAGCTAGCCAACTGGTAGCGTGCAAGATGCCTCTATACACGGGGATCTCCATGATGAATTGCAGAGCCCCAAGGTAGGATGCTTGTGTTCATGTGTCTCTCGGTCTGAGGCTCATGATCATGGAGTGGATCAGCCGATGACCCATGTGGTGATGCCACGGGAGCTGGGTGGAAGCAGAGATGCGCTGGATAGCTTCAACGCTTATGTCAGGCGGGGTAAGCATGATATTGGCTGTGTCTAGTCACAGTCATCAATCAGGAAGACCATTGGCGTAAAAACACTCGCAGTTGCTTGCAACAGCACAGCTTGATTCACATCCGAATCCTTTGAATCATGAAGGCTTTTACGATCAACGAACTATCCGATACAACATTTCTTAAGTATATAGATATTTTACATCTGCATGAATTAAGTTTACTGCTTCATGGGTGTGTTGATCCAAGCTCATTGCACCAAATGGGGAAGTTGGAAGTAAGATGCGCGTTGGCAAGGTGGGAAGGGAAAAGCGAACAGAGGAGCGCGACGTACATTCCTAGACAGGGACCATAATGTGATTTTCCCATTTATGCCAGCCATGTTCATCTTGCAGTGCGAAAGCGCAAGCGGCAACAAGAAGTGCATCTAGGATGTGCAAGAAATGTCCTAGGACTATGTGGCTCGGGCCCTGCCTACTTCACTTTGTGGTTACACCAAGTCTTTTTTTGCAGAGCTAGGGATTGGCTTGAAGAGGTACGTAAGTGTAAGACGGTCCCATAGCCGAAGGGGCCCGTTGCACGATGTAGTCCTTGCGCAGATTGGCACCGAGCACTACGTTCTTCGGCGCATTTAGCCGTTTCAAGGATTGTGAACCCTTAGCCCTTTCTGATTCTGTGTAAAGAAGACACAGACAAAGTGTTGATGGAATCCCCCAACTGAGTCCCAGGTACCTTGGCACTTTTGCATGGTCGCTCTCTTGCCGGATGTATTCTATTCAGCAGTGAACATTCTTGGCTGCGACAATGGTCTTTGTCAGAAGTCCGCAAGTGAGGCTGGTTTCACCTCGGTCGCCCAATACATGGTCACACAAGCTCTAGCTTGGCTCGTTTGCTTGCTGTTCTCGATCCCTTTGGCATATCCAATCCTTCTGCGTATGATCAAGTTGACTATAAAGATCAGCAATGGGCCGTTGCAAAGCTTGGTGGTCATGCTGTGCTGCCCCGTGGCGTACGCTGTCTCGAACACCTGCAGCGGCATTGTGTGGGGATGCCTTTACTTGCTTGCCATGGACTACTCGCCGGTTTGGTTTGCTGGATTCTTGATGTTTCTCAGTGGGCTCGTTCTAACTTTCTTTCTGCACTTCCTGAAGCACGAGAGTCAGACAGTCTCCTGCCGGTGTCTCACGCGCCAGGTAGATCCCTCTGTGCCATTGATGCCCGAACGGGCTTGCTTGCTGTAGTCGGATACTGCGCAACAACTCCAGGAAAGACCTTTCGCATCTGCCCAGGCAGTTTTGCGTCATGTCAACTGCCCATGAACTTCATTCCAAGAGCCAGGGCTTGTGAAAACCTCCTCTGCGCAGTTCGTTGCCTGCTACTGCTGTCCTGTTTGGCTGAGCTTGCCCCCTTTTCAAACAGTATTCTTGCCTGACAAACAGCATGGTGCGAGATTCCCGACCAAGATGTATTTACACGCAATGTGAGTTGACGCTTAACCATGAACGTTTGGCTTCAACTCTAGGACATGGACAAGTTTGTAGCTGCCCAATGGCGCTGGCTGAGCTTGACCGCAACATTGCCTGAGAGAAGGGAGGAGAAGGGCAGGAGCAGGGAAGGGGGAAGAGGAGAGGAGGAAGAGAGAGCAGGAGACAAAACACGGCGAGGAGAGGAGGAGGGGAGAAGGGACGAGCAGGAGGATGGATGTACATAAAGGCAGGATTTAGGGCTTTGTGTTTTGGGGTTGGGTTATACACTTGGGGCTTTAGCCCTTAGCCCAAAACTCTGTACCCTAAACTCCATACCCAACCTCCCTTCTCCTCCCTCCTCCCATCTCCTCTCCTTTTTTCATGTGTTCCTCTCTCCTGCCTCTTCCTCCTCCCCCCCTCCCTGGTCCTCTTTTTTTTCTCCATCCCCTCTCCTCTCTCCTTCTCTCTTACTTTTTTTTCCTTGCTGTTCTTCTCTCCTCTTTGCTCCTCCCTTCTCTTCCCTCCTCCCATCTCCTCCCCGTTTTTTGTGTCCTCCTCTCTCCTCCCTCTTCCTCCTCTCCCCCCCTCACCCCCTCCCTGGTCCACATTTTTTTT